TGCAAAGTCTATTTTCACTATCCAAGAAAATTGCGAAAGAAAAAAGTCACTGGGTCCATAACCTGTTATTAAATTGAATGTGTAATGAAACGCTTGAGTCACAGACGAGAATTGACTTTATTTCAAAAGATAGTATTGCATAACTACATACAGATGGCGCTAGTGGTGTGATATTGACGATAGACAAAAATAACAGCATTCAAGATATTTTTATTTTACAAAAGAGAGCTGTCCGCGCTATATATCATTTACGGTCTAGATAATCTCTCAGAGAAATATTTAAAGAAATAAATATTTTGACTGTTGCCTCTCAATACATATATGAAAATATGATGTACGCAAGAAAACATTACGATTCCTTCATAAAAAAAGTAGTGTTCATAATCTTAACACAAGAAATAAAAATAAACTTGCCGTTCCAAGCTTCAGACTTCAGAAAACCAGAGGATCATTTCTGGGTAAATGCATTGCTATGTTCAATAAAGTTCCACAAAATGTAGTTGACCTACCCATAAATAAATTTAAAATTCATGTAAAGAACATACTTATGAGTAAAGGCTTTTATAAAGTTGATGATTATTTTAAGGATCGCAATGCATGGAATTAATAGCCTTCGCTTTGTTCTATAAAGACTAATTATATGTTCAACCTATGTCCTACAGACTTTGAAAGTTGTATTTATTATTGTGATAATACATATTATTTTGGTAATGACATGATTTATGTAAATGTCATTATTTATGATAAAAAGCTGGTAAGTTTCTTTCGCTTGTTCTTCTTGTCAGCTAAGACGTCCTGAACGAGTGGTAGGGGAAGCAAAATTTTTGGACGATTCAAAAGTGCTTGTAATAGCGTACTTGAATAAAGATATTTTCATTTCATAATTTAAAGGATAGGTATATTGTGAATCAAAGCAAAGTAGAAAACATTTATTTTGTTACAAATTTATCTCAGTCTCTTTCAAGATCCTGAGTTGATGCTGGTCATGCTCGTTGGAAATCCTAACTTTGTCGATCATTCACACAAGCTACCTACTTGCCTCATATCTAATTTCATACAAAATTATATCTATGAATATCTAAGAGGATCTTAATGTCTTTAAAAAAGGGATACACAAAAAGGCCCCAATTAAAGAAATAATTCCTATGGAAAGGAAAATGCATTACGAAAATGCTAGTCTTCATACTCATGCACCACACACATCTTTAGTAGCAAAAATTAAAAATCACTTTGTCTCGGAGGTGTTAAATGCTTGCCTTCATCCTCATGCGCCACACATATCTTTAGTCGCAAAAATCAAAAGAAACTGACTCGGAGGTGTTAATACATCCTCCATGTAGCCACAAACTTCAGATTTACATATATTTAGAATCCTTGCAACAATTTCAGTTTGACATCAAGAAGGGCCGACAAAGCTACATGTCGTGTTTTTTTTTAATCAAGTTTCAAAGTTTTTATGCAACGAGATTATGCTACTAGCAAAAAGTTATCGAAAAAACCATCATTATCATCTACATATTGTTTGCCCCACTGCTGTAGCACAGGCTTTTGCTAGTAATGAAGTCAACATCCATGCTGCTGCATGCTGAGTATAGTTCTCCCCCATGTGTTTCCATTATAATCGGCTCTACGGTCGCCACATACAGCGCCTTCCCGCAACATTTATCAATATGTCGGTCCACCTAATTAAGGGCCTACCCACTGAACGTTGTCCTATGAACGTTCATTGGTTGGACGTTGGATGGACATTCCAGAACTACTGCCACTGCCCACGATTTCAGTTGAGTAATCCTTCGAGTAAATATAGTTCTCTTACGGGTCTCCTCATTTCTAATCAAGAGAAGCACGGTGCTACTGTATGTTCATGCTATAAACAATTGTAACTAGGTTCATTATATTTGTATAATGAATTTCTCGATAAATTACACTACTCTACAAATGAAAAGAGAAAAATGCAATTGTAATGGTTCTTTTTGAAGGAAAATGAAAAATACTTTATTAAAAAACGGAGCTTGCTGTGTGTGCACTCGCAGGCGGCGGTGACTGGTAGGCAGATTGTTTACTGCGGTGGGATCAAAAGGTCTTTTTTCTGTTCTGTGGTCAAAAGCAATCCGATGAATCATTCCTATGTTCGCGACGTGAGATTTGCAATGTTTTGTTTTGTTTAGGTACAATACCTACATTATATGAGTTGAGTATTCAGAGCATATGGAAAAACTTTGCTTCGTTGATATTATGTTCTGAGTGATATGTAATTTAAAATGTAATTAATAGATAAATAAAGAAAAAACACTATCAGTGTTATTACAAAAAAGATAAACACCCGTTGAACACGTGTTTAAAAATTGTTCTATTACACAATCGTATTTCAGCATTGGTTAAGGCAAAACAACTCCTAAACATTGTTTAAAATTTAAACACATGTTAAGGGTTGTTTATCGAGTATCTAACCTTTCACAATAGTTATACATGTTCTGACTTTGATAAGAATTATTTCTTTGAATTTAAGTTAAAAATGATAATTTTATATTAAATATTTTCATTTACAAAAATTATTAATTAGTGTGTTTATAAAGATATCTTTTTACATCTAAAATTTATTATAAGTTTGTATACAGCGTGCATAGAATTGAACGTGTATGAACGAATGAAAGCCAGTAGAACGAATGTTTCTTCGAAAGAACTAGTGTTACTTAGACAATGTTTAAAAATGAATTTGTAATAGGGAAAGTTAGACATCATTTTAAACAGGGTTTATATTCTTAAACACAGTTTAGATAAACACATGGTAAAACACTGTTTAACGTCTCTTTTGTAATAACACTGTACTATTCTAAATTTGAAAGCTAAACTCACAAGTAAAAAAATCTCAGTTATATTTTGCATTTGTTTTTCTGCCTAGCAATTTTTTTCATAACTCGCTTTTCAATCACACTAATGGTTTTGTCGACTGTAACTGCAAATAAAAAATAGAGAAGAAAAAATTTAAATCTGTATGTGCAGCTTTTGTAAACTGAATTTCGGGCACTAGGTTTGCGTTACACTTCTATTCAAAACTTTTAAGTGATTGAAGGCAGTCAATCATGTATATGCAGCCTTTTGATAACTGAATTTTGGGCATGACATTTGCTTTACGTTTCTTTCTATTTGAAACTTTTAAGTGATTGAAGCCTGTCATTTGCATCACTGAATATTCTACCAAACATAAAGTTTTCATTATTTGTACCTTTAATAAAAAAATGTTAGGGTTGAGTTACATCTGCTGGTTTAATAATATTTGATCTGTAAAAATAACTTTTTGCACCCTTATTAAGACTACAGCGTTATTACTATTTGCGCAATTGTGTATAGTAAAGTGAAATACTGCTTACGATGCGTTTAAGTTCTGATCTTGGGCTTATGAATTTTGATTAACGTTCTTTGGAACGAGAGCATTATTTTCTTATTTGTGGATTGCCCATTGTAATAAATTACAATATATAGCTACTGTCACATAGTGGCAACCACTGATAAAGTCTTTCAAATCCTTACGATGCTGGATTTGCGAAACACGCGTAAAGTAGAAATCGTAAATAATTATCGGGTATTTTTACTAAAATGCACATGCATAAGCCCGTTAAATTCGTTTGCGAAAGGCAAGCGATGTGTATAAAAGTTTTGTATTTTAGGTACTAACTGATTTAGACAGATATCGTAATTTCACAATAAGGATGACGACTGGGTAAAAAAATAAATCCTCCTTAGTTCGTCAGTCATATAATAGAAAAATATTAGATACGTATTTTTTTGTTGTTTCAATTTAAGCAAGAAATGGCTTAGATAGCAGTAGGCATTAAAGTTGAGGTTGAGTTGAGTGGGGGCTCGTTACGTCACAGTTTTGTAGAATATGTATCGAAGCGTAACGTCATGCGACATTTCAACTCTTAATTTATTGACTATGCACAAAACAAAAAAATATGTGTTTAATATTTTTCAACAATCTACCTGACGGATAAACAAAAAAAAATAGTCATCATCCCTATTAAGTTTGATGTTTAACTTATGTTACACCTTAAGTCAGTGGCGTAACTAGCGCGGCAAAATGATCATATCTCAAGCCTCTCACTAAAATGGGAATTGCAGGGCTATTCTTCACTACCTTCAAAGTTCACTACTGTCAAAGTAACTATACATATGGTGTATGTATAATCAGAAACATAATATTATTAATATATGTACACAAAAATATGTTATAGTAGATCTCTTAGGCATATATTTGAATTAGCCATGTGATTCTGTAAATGCATTTCGAACATCGGGAAGCTGAATCCGCGGTGAGATTCGAATTTCGTATTCTGTATAACTCGAAAACGCTGTACTGTCGGACGCGGAGTGAATTGAACTAAGATTAGTGAGATTTTGACGTTACATTCATAGAGATTGGTATTTTCAATGGTAACTCGATAGTCATCTCGACGCTCGAAACTTGAATTCACTTGTCAAATAAACAGTTGCAAAATAGTGATCCAATTTACAGTAAAACTTTCTAAAAACTGTATCATATCTCGTTAATTACTTTTTCAAAAAAGTAATGTTAAATACCAGCCGACGTCAAGGTGATAACTTTCGACGTTTAAACATGTTTAGGCGAATTATGAATCACCTATGAGATTAGGTAAATCTGTGAAATCTCCTGTTAGAAATAAAGTATGAAAGATTCGGTATATTGACTATTTTTTGTTGGCGCTGCAAATGTTAAGCAATTTTCATAGGATGGATGACCAAAATACCTCAAGGTCCTCCATACTATGGAAAGTACGTATTTTGTACATTACGTTAGAGTACGTTACGTTAAAACGTTAAAACTCATCACTGGTTTCAGTTTCCAACTACGTGTTTATTTCTTCTGATAAATTAAAATACTGAAAATTTAATAGAAACATAAACATAATTTGACTTTTCGCCAAAAATACAACAAAATGTATTTCAACCCATATAATAAGTAATGTCTTTGTTTACAGAGTTGCGATGGAGGATCGATGTGTCTTGAGCTGGCACTGGAGGGTGAGCGACTCTGTAAGGCGGGTGACTGCCGGGCCGGAGTCGCTTTTTTCCAAGCGGCCATACAAGCTGGCACAGATGATCTGCGAACTCTCAGTGCCATCTATAGCCAATTAGGCAATGCATACTTCTACCTTGGGGACTACAACAAGGCAATGCAGTATCATAAGCATGACCTGACATTAGCTAGGTACCTATATATTTTGATTATTTTACTATAATTTCATCTCTATTATTTTATTTATGAAATATGGTCAAAAATGTCTTTACGAGTACATCAAGCACATAATGTGTTATATAATGTGTGCGTAATACAAATGTGATGTGTGCATCGTACTCATATCACGGCTCACTTTTTCTCTAAGGAATACCTTTTTCAACAATATAAAAACTTATTCGCAATTAGTCAAATTGTATTATGTTAACCGTGAACATAATATGAAATTTGGTATTTTTCTAAGCAACTCTCATTGAATATGAGAATAATAATACTAATTATAATAATAATACTTTTATAGAACAATGAATGATAAATTGGGTGAAGCAAAAGCGTCCGGCAACTTGGGCAACACTTTGAAAGTGATGGGCAAATTCACGGAGGCCATCCAGTGTTGCAAGCGTCATTTGGAGATTTCGCGTACACTCGGCGACAAGTTGAGTGAAGGCAGAGCTCTCTATAATTTGGGCAATGTGTACCACGCACAGGGCAAGCAATTGGGCCGCGTAGGTCAAAACGATCCTGGCCACTTCCCACAGGAGGTGCGAGATTGTTTGTTGCAGGCAGTCGAATATTATGAGTAAGTTGCATTTTGTGGTAGATTTATGTGTGAATATAATAAAAAAGTGAAGCTATTTTTGCTACATTATTTCTACAACATTATATCGTCCATGCAAAATATCATAAAATAGAAAAAACAAGAAAAAAATTGTTTTTAGAGAAAATTTGGAATTGATGCGGAGTTTAGGCGATCGTCAAGCGATGGGTCGAGCATGTGGTAACTTGGGCAACACGTGCTACTTGCTTGGCGATTTTTCAAGGGCGATCCGCTATCACACCGAACGCCTGGAGATAGCTAGAGAGTTTGGTGACAAACCGGCCGAAAGGCGAGCCAACAGCAACTTGGGCAACTCGCACATATTCTTAGGACAATTCGAGAACGCCGCTGAACATTACAAGTACGTATGATTTTTAAACTCATTTTGATTGTTTTTTTCTTTTATTATTTTTCGTTAGACAGCCGAGTGTATATTAAAGAAGTTTATATAAGTTTATTATATGTTATGTGTAAAACCTTTTTTTATTTAAAACATTGCTATGCAGAATGAGAGCGAACGCGTTTATTTTTTGTTAAGGCTCCCTATACTGTTCTTAAATAGTAAAAAATAGCTATAAGTAAACAATAACAGTATTTGATGCTATTATATGAAACCGAAACAAAATATACATAAAACACGTGTTAAGGAAATCATTCATAACAGAGGTTGCAAAAACATCTAGAGTCCTAGAAAATATATAAAAAATACGAGGGTTTGACCTTGACCCTCAGAGAGCACCAAATTTCGAGTTCTCTAGTAAAAATAAATTATTTGCAAAATATGTATTATATCTGATACAACGCATGATTTTGTTTATACAAACGCTGTCATTTTGTAACATTAGGTAATCTTACCAGTTCTGTAAGGTACTGTGACACCTCATATACATGACTTTTCATATGTAAATAAATTAAAACAGGAAATAACAACCTGCTTTCTTTTCATGCTTTTATCATCATCAATTTATTTAATGATCCTGTTCCTGGAGATCAATATTCTTCCATATGGGTTGTCATATAGGGACCACCCGGCCCAGTGCGGGATAGTTGGTATTAACGACTGTAGTTGCAGCCGGGACCGACGACTTAAAGAGCGGAGGAGCTCGAGATAATTTTTGGTTACCAATCGTATAACTGACCATTGCGAAAGTTGGATAAACTACGCTAACCACTGTACCATCGAACAGTTCTTAATTCATATGCATTGCGAATATTTATTATTTGTTTGAACTATTAAACAAATTTTGGACTTCTTTGTCCTCTGTTCTGCTCTAACTTGAGTATCTTTAATGTTATAAACTATTTTATTCGCTGTGTTTTCCTTGTGGCAGAATAGATCACGATCATCTTAACGATATATCGATAATTGGTTTTAAGAGCATCGCTGCGTTCTATTCCATGTAAACTAAATCTTGAAAAACGACGTGTTATGTGTATAAAAAATATAGTACTTCTGTTGCCAATGTCGAATTCAATGACAATAATTATAGTCTCATCATGAATTTCCACTCGACAATGAGCCTTATCGACTGACTGTCCATGCACTGTCTAATGTTCCTACGTTGCTACGGCGCAGCGAATTGTAATATGTAATTTATTGTATACGTTAAAAATGTCTGTCGCCCATATTTATAAGAAATACTTGCTTTCGTCATCGTCAACCTAAGAATATCGCTTCATAAGGCGAACATACTATCACCTACCATGCGGACACAGTAAGGGTTGGTGGACGTTAACGACTGTAGATGCAGCCAAAACCAATGGCTTGTCGTTGAATTCTGGAAAAAACTGACACATGTATGTGATAACAATTTTCCTGCTGTTAGATACAAGCTTTAAAAATCTATTCACGAACGGGCTATTACCTACCATGCGGACACAGTAAGTTAATGTTAACGTTAAAAACTGCAGATGCAGCCATAATCAACTTTGTAATGCTTAAATTGTGGGTCACCCATACGACTACCTGCTATAGCGAAAGTTGCTTAGCATTAACATTCGCAGACCGAACACTAATGTTTTCTTAAAATAAATAAATATATGACTAATATTTTATGAGAAATTAACTTTAGGTTAATAAGATTATTTTTAATAAATAGATTAGACTTACAATAATTACTAGCTGATCTGGCGAACTTTGTTCCGCCATCTATCCGTTTTTTATAAATTACATTTTTTTATAAATTTACTTATATACAAACGTTGTCTTGACAATAAGAAATACATAAAAAAAAGAATCATTCAATTTGGTGCAGTCGTTTGGAAATTATGCGCATGCATACATTTTGATGATTCATTTTTATATATACATATTTCCAACTACACAGCCATAATGAAATTAGCGAATTGATTATTTTCAGAGTTATTGCGAATTTATATGAAACTATTTTAACCACTTGCGAGTTCCTTGTAAGTTAAATATGCTTCAATGTTATTCTATATGTATGAATTAAGAGCGTTTATCCGTTTTATGCCATTTTAGATAAAATCTCTACGTCTTGAGCTTCCTATTAATCACGAAAATATAACCTACATAATCTTAAATATGCTCAATACCTTTAGAAAATTTTGTCCTCTAAATCCAATAATAGATAATACAATATGTAAATATATAAAATACAACGCAGAGGTCTTCAATTTAGTGTCAGAATCAATTTGGAAATTGAAAACATTATAACTTTTCAGATTTAGTAGCTTCCCTTAGGTGAAAGAAGTTTTCTAATTAGTTCACTAGTTTCGCATCTAAAATGAGAAAAAAAAAAAACAAACAAACAATCAAATCTGTCCTCTTTATATTGAAAATATTATTATACTCAAAGGATAATGTTTTTAGTTACGTTAAAGGCGGATTAAATTTGAAGGATTTGCCTTTTTTGATATAATTAGTTTCTTTAATTAATGTTGTTTTATTAACAATTATATCCCCTTGGGGGTAGAATTAATCAAAATTCTTTCTTAGCGGATGCCTACGTCATAACATCTACCTGCATGCCAAATTTCATTGATAGATCACTATGTCAGTCAGTGACCTTTGAGTTATATAATAATAATTTATAATATTTTTTTTATTTTCTTCCACAAATGTTCTTAAAAATTACATCAACAAGTGCCAAAATAAACAGTCATGTGGAAGACTGGAGCCAGAAATTAAGCATAAAATAAGGCTTGATGTTATCAAGTCACCAGGCTTCTCCTCCGATATTGCATTATATTTAGATATATAATGAAAAATATTCTTAATGAAAAATATTTAAATAATCCACTTTGTCCGTGGCAGTCTTGAGATGCGATTTGAATCCATAAAAAACTCATCGGTCCTATTAGGTCCTGGGTAGCTCAGTGGTTAAAGCAGTGGTCCGGATAGCAAAAGGTCATGGGCTTGAGTCCAATCTCAAAGAACCAGAGACAAAGTGGATTTTTAAGCAATTATCATCAAAAATATTTTTCAGTATAGCATTGTGAATGCAAAATTAATCAAATATAATGATTTAAATGACGCCCTCAATGTACTTATTCCTTCAAATTAAGTTGCAAATTTATTATAATATACACAATACACTTAACACACAAGTCATTTCAAATCAGCCCTGCGAAAATCTAAACCCGAATTCGAAAGCGGCATCCGGTCAATCTTGAATTTTTAATTGTTAGTGGCATAAGTGAAGTGGCTTTAGAAATGACATAGGAATATAATATCGGAGACACGTATATTCAATCAATTTTTTTTTGTGTTTTTATACGAAAATCATGGAAATAATAGAATTTCTACACTAAAGGAAGACAATTCGGACCCATGAGTGAACTTGAATTTGGGTCTGGATTTTTACAGAATTGTAGGACAGTACGTCAAAGAAATTGTAAACACTACGTGTATTTAAAGCGCTATGCTTTACGAATTGCACTGCAGTCCGCCGTTAGACCTTGTCGAGGCATGTTCTCGCACGGTGTACTCGGCACTCGGTAACTCTTGATATTTGTTACTGTTATAACATTATTGTCTTGACATTTAGTCAGTGCACAAACGTCCATTAATGTTTAATGACTACTTTAAGCTCTAATTAATCTTTTATATTAAAAAAATTATATCCGTTGTGTCGGTTAAACTAATGACAATTTTAATGGACGTTTTTGCAATTAGGTGTTTGTCTATTAAGTAAGTAAAATAAATCTTATAAAGGTTTCTAATAGAAATTAATGTTAATCCTGATTAATTTATATACCGAATTAACTTACTATTCAGTAAGTTCGTGATAAATTCGGATATGTTCGCTTGTAGATTCGTCCTGTCAGTCTGTCCGTCCCTATGTCACAGCCACTTTGTTTCAAACTTATTAGGACTATGCAATTGAAACTTGCTATGTTTTGTAAACTCTGTGAACCGTATTATGATTTGTATATAAATGCAACAAAAATAAATTAGGCTGGTTGTTTGGTGGTTAGGTTGTTCAACATACATGGCACTTATAAAAATGATATATGTGAGGTGTTTTATCTATACTAATGTCATAAAGAGTAAAGATTTGATTGTTTGTTTGTGTCGAATAGGCTCCGAAACTACTGAACCGATTTTAAAAATTATTTCACCTGCGTGTAGCTACACCATCCGGGGTTAATATAAATTCACAGGAAAACAGCTAGAAAAAAAGTAAAAATGATGTTCAGATTTCTAAAACAGTTCTTCCACTAAACGACTCCCTATCTATTTTTATGCGCCTGACAATTAGATCGAGTAAAATAAAAAAAAATATATTTAGTTTGTTAGTCAGATAATAGAAAAATATTAGATACGTATTTTTTTGTAAAAAGTTGAGGATGGGAAAGCTCGCTATGTCATAACTAAGATGTACAAAAGTGTGACGTCATGCGAAATTTCGACTGCCGGGCCAGGGTCGAGGCGAAAAAATCTTCACAAATCCTCTAAATTAATGTTATTAAGCCTTATACAAAATGTCACGCACATATTTATTTATTTTATCTATAGAAAACTATAAATTATGAGAGTGTAATAATTCCTGTGATAAATTATGACAGTGTAATAGGTCCTGCGCTGCCCGCGCAATATCAAATATTATTATCTACATAAAATTTAAGGAAAAGTGAAAGTCTTAGGAAATGAGATTTTTTATTTGATCTATATATTTTTTTAATAATCTATTTTTTAATACCTATTCCTTTCCTATAAAGAGTTGATCGCTTGTTTGTTTGCATTGCATAGGGTCCAAAACCATTGTACCGATTATAAAATTCTTTTATCTACGGAAAGCTACACAATACGCCAGGGACATAGGCTATAATCTACGAAAGCGAAGTCATGTGAAGCAGCTAGTTGTATAGAAATTGGTACTTACATGAAAAATATAAGTACACGTTGAACATATAAAGTCCTCGTTTTGGAATAGATTTATTGTCACTGTTTGTTTTCCTAATAAAATAAAATAAATTATCGACAAGCTCACAGCAATACCAAATATTTTAGAATTTTCTAATAAATTGTTAAAACAAAGTAGTCAACTTATTTGAAAGCAATTAATTCTTACTTCTTACTTACTCAATGCCAATGCCGATGGTTAGAAAACTTTCGATTGGTTTGTTTAGTAAAGTCGTTTGGTTAGTAGGTACCGACCAGTCTCAGCAGTTGAGGAACGTCAGAACCTTTTCAACCTTTTACATGCCCTCGCCTTCTAATACTTCCGAGAGACGCTTGATGGATCTTTCGTTTCGTTCTTGATGGATTAGATTTGCGTCAACCATTTAACCTGTTTCTATAGTCGAGTAAAATTAAGTGCTTGAGTAAAAATAATTACTTCAGCAAATATGTTTACAAAAAAACAAGAATTTAATTGAATTAAGAACCGGTAATAGTAAGAATACTATTATTAATAGCTAATATTTCATTCAAATTCTCACGTTCTCAAGTTACACCATTTTCTCAAGAGATATTAAAAGATTTAAAGAGATATTTGACCATACAAAAAAGAATTTTGATGAAGTAAGAATTGTTAATAGTTAGAATACTATTATTATTACATACCTAGGTATTAACAATTGTTTCTTCATCCAAATTCTAATCTATTGGTTGAAAATATTTTTTTAAATTATGAAATTTCCTCAAGTCACTACTTCTCTCGACTTGTACGAGTGTAAGAGTCAACTCTATACTCAAATAAAACATTTCTATTAAAATAAAATTTTCACGAGTGTATCTTAGTATTTTTCAGATGCGCACTTAGTTTCCATATGAAGTAAATTCTGTCTTTTATCTACAAAATTTTGGGCGAAATATTTTTTTACCCTGAAAAATTTCATTTTTTTGTATGTACCTATCTATTATATTTTTATTTCTTTGTTTACCCAACCCACACGTGTCTCAAATTTATACGGGTTTATTAACAATACTTCTCATGCAACAGACGAACTCTGGCACTAGCAGAAGAGCTGGGCGATGCGGCAGTAGAGGCTCAAGCGTGCTACTCTCTCGGAAACACGTACACTCTCCTCCGGGAGTACCGAGTAGCAGAGGAGTATCACGCGCGGCATCTAGCGGCAGCGAGGAGACTCCACGACCGTGTAGGAGAAGGACGGGCATGTTGGTCGTTGGGTAACGCGCACGCCGCACTCGGAAACCACGAGAAAGCGCTGTATTACGCCAACGAACACTATAATATATCCAAAGAGGTGATTATCATTGTTATGTTTGATTTTGGAATTAGTATTTAATAGTGATAGAGATGATTGTATTTATAGATAAACTATGTAAATGACTTAGCTGGGGCGTATCCACTATGTATGTGATCGAAGGTGAAGATATTGAACACACTTTAATTCGAGCCTCTCTTCAATTTTTAATCTATTTGATGTGGTGCTTCAGACTTATACATTTCTACCAATACGTGCTGCGATCGTTTGTCGGTCCAATTCACACATAGCGTATACTTAACCAAAAGTGTAAATGGGCAAGTTAGTAAAAAGTTAATCTGTCTAATTACACCTCAATATTACTTTAAGTGTAAATTTGGATAAGATACTAATAAATTTGATATACTTTTGTAAAGTGATTCGTTATTTTGTTTAACATCAGTCGATTATTTGTATAAAAATCCAAATAATGTATATTATATTTAAACCAGCAATGAGTTTTTTTAGATCGGCCCATAAGATTGTAGAGCTTCTTTGTTCAATATGACTATAATCAATTTTATGATTTAAACTCACTTTTTTTTTATCAAAATGGTTATCGTCTTTTCGGTTGCATAAAACATGCTGTTAACTTTGACTTTAAAATACGAGTATTTTAAATTGATGAAGGAAAACTATTACCTATTTTTGACAGTTAGGCGACGTACTGGGTATGGCAACAGCTCAGATGAACATAAGCGACCTCCGCAAGGTGCTTGGTCTGCCCGAAGGCGAGGCGCCCCCGCCCCCCGCGTTGGATACCTCCCCCACTCCCCGTACACCCTTCAACGCTTTACGTGTACGCAGGCAGAGTATGGAGCAACTAGCCCTTATACAGGTGAGACCAATCTCATATTAAAAGACATGAACTTTTCGATATTATTGTCTTGGATTTTAATGTAGTAGTTCTTTCATTTTTTCTGTATACAAGACCTCAGCGTGTTTACAGTCTGACCAATGACGTATGTAATGTAATTATAATAGGTATAGTTTACAACGATATTATCATATCGAAATTTTTATTTACAATTTTGTGACCGTATTATCTATTAGTCTGGCAGCGCCCCTCTTAGATTTTAAAATGAATTTTTGTCTCAACAAGTCCCTTATATACGAGGGTCAAACTGAAAGTTCTTAGAAAATCAAAAACTGATTACATTAGCCAGTTATTAGTTTTATTATATCTTTTCAAAATATTGTCCATTCACGTCAATACACCGCTGCATGCGATGGAACCACTGGGAAAAGCACTTTGCCCACTCGTCCTTAGGGGTCTCTTCAATGGCATCGCGATACGCAGCCACCGCTTCTTCAGCATTCATAAACCGCTTTCCTTTAAGTTTTTCTTTAATTTTTGGAAATAAATAAAAATCACAAGGCGCGAGGTCGGGGCTATACGGCGGGTGACCCAGTAATTCAACGTTTGATGTCGCCAAATAGTCGATCGTTCGCTTGGCGGTGTGCGACGAGGCGTTGTCGTGGTGAAGGAGGATCCTACTGCGAGGTCGTTTCTCTCGAACTTTTTCCAAGACAAGTGGCAAACAATTGGTAGTGTACCATTCTGCAGAAACTGTTTTTTTTTCCTCTAACACAATTGTTGCAAAATGACCTATCCTTCCAAAGAACGAGGCCACCATTTTTTTTCCCGCACTTCGATCTCTCTTCACTTTAGTTGGCAACTCCTCGAAAGGAAACACCCACTGAGCAGATTGTCTTTTGGTTTTAGGATCATAACAGTAAATCCAGCTTTCGTCACCTGTTAGTATGTCGAACACAGCATTTGAGTCACCTCCGTTAAATCTTTCAATCATTTTACGACACCAATCCACACGATGGAGTTTTTGAGCCTCAGTCAAATTATGAGGTATCCACCGGGCGCAAAGCTTCCTGACCGCTAAATGTTCGTGGAGGATTTTGTGCACTTGACTCATACCGATGCCTAAGCTTGTCCGAATCTGTTGATAGGTCACTCTTTTGTCAGTCTCTATCATACGCCGCACAACACAGATGTTATCTTCAGTCGTCGCCGTAGAAGGCCGTCCCTCACGTAAATCATCAGTGAGATTAGTGCGACCACGTTTAAACTCATTAAACCAGTTGTAAACAGTCGCACGAGATGGGGCTTCATCGTGAAAGGCCAATCGTAGTCTATCATAACTTTCTTGTTGACTTAAATGACATCGAAAGTCATAAAAAATCATTGCACGAAAATTTTCTCGTGTTAAATTCATGATGACGTGACACAGACAATTTTCAATTTGCCGCCAAATTGTAAAACAAATGACAAATGAATGAAATATATACTCAGTAATATTGGCAAAGAGTTATATTTTCAAATTTTAGAATTATTTTTTTATTATATTGTTTATAAGTGGCCAGTTTTAAGAACTTTCAGTTTGACCCTCGTATATATCAATCCATTATGAAATACGACGAGTTACGTAGTTTTGGAGGCTAGAGTCATGTGACGTCAGACAGACAGTAACAAATGTGTATTTATAGAAAATAATTAAAATATTTAGTCATATTTTAATACACACAGACAGGATAGCGGTTTTAACTGCCAGAGAAGCAAGTAGTAGAAGGCAGTAGCGAATATGTCTATCTTAAATCTAATCCCGAAAAAAAGCACATAAAGGGATAAAAATGGGAGTGGAACTTTGTATAGGGCATTACATTGTTACTATAGAAACCATTATTTACAATTCAATTTGTCATTTTAATTATATTCCATGTGATCTTTTAGATCCCTTAAATATTTATTTTATTCTGTTTTTTGTTAGTATTTGTTATATTATCGGTAACGGAACTACATCATCTGTGAAAATATCATAACCATCACGGTTAGTGAATTACAGCCATATGGTGGTAGCAGCACAAATTCACGTTTGTTGTATGGGAGACCCTTTAAATATCTATTTTATTCTATTGTTCTATTATTAAAGCCTCAACAGAAGTACATCATCTGGGAAAAATTCAACTGTCTAATATTCACGGTTTATGTAATACAGCTTGGTGAAAGAGAGACAAGTCTTGGTAATAGGGTTGTCATTTTATCTTTTGGGTATGGAACTCTAAAAATTAAAGATGCTGCCAAGTTAATTGTATCAGGAAAAATTTGCAGTTAGTGTAAAGTTGGTTTACATCATCATCACACACTGTAAATCTTAGGAAACTAAGGTGGTTTGTTATTAGATTTAAAAATAAAAAAAATCCTTCTCATTGTTTTATTCTCAATATTTACATTTAAATTGATCGCTCTCTGCTATTGCTGGTTTTATTATTGAGTAGTATTTTATATTATAATATTCATCATCATCAGCCTACATTTATCCACTGCGTTATCATCGTAATCGATGTTCGGCTATTCTCATTCAGCTTTGCCAGCTACCTTGCGAATTACTCGTATAATATAAAATATAATATTGATGTTAGGTATTCCATTTGTCATTTTTTAAAATCGGTCACCATATGTAAAATTTAATTTTCTATATTGTATATTTTTGATTTTTTTTCTGTTTATATGTAACATAATAACTGAAACTCTCTTGATAATAAAATTTTGAGCAAAAGAATCAACAAACAATTTTAAAGTTTTCAAGATTAATTTCATTACCTTTACATACAATTAAATTTTGTTATATATCATTAGACAATATTCGATAAAAAATCTTATGTTTACTATTGCCAGATAACGCCAGATAGTAAAAAGAAAGAGGACGAACAGGAATCGGAAAAACAACGCGAAGTAACCCGCGCTGAGTCAGAAGACAATCCGGGGGAGTCTTTCTTTGAGTTGCTCAGCAGATGCCAGTCGGAACGTATGGATGAGCAGCGTGCCACGCTACATTCGAACAAGGAGAACAGACCTAAACCAAAACCACCAGCGAAACTACAGCGGTCGGCTAGCAGTGGACACAAACAGTCTGGGTAAGATAACTTATGTACTACTCGTAAGAATTAACATGAGACATGAAGGCCTAATCTATTTCTACGAAATCTAAATGTCACCTCTTCTTGAAATGCTAATACGACTCGAAAGAATCGCATTTCTCGATAATTTGTGATAAAACGGAGGTGATACAATTGATTAAAATTGTAAGAAAGATTGTAATGTTTCACTATTTTCGTTCGAGGATAAATAGAATAGTCTGGTGTCATATTAATTTGTACGAGTTATAGTTTGCGTTCATCATTCGCCTATTGATGACCTCACTGTTGGGACACCTATGGATAGCATCAAACATTAAGATCGGGCCCAGTGCCAGCTGGTCTTAACAACTGCAATATTGTATATTAGAAGCCACAGTAACCGGCGAGTATGGAGAGAATGTCAAAGAACCGAAAGACGTGTATAAGGACTGTTCCTTGTGATATTCCACCTATTCATTGCTAAGGATGTGGCATGATCGTGACGACAAATGTGTTATAAAATTTAATATTTATATAGAGTTACCGAAATCCAACTTAGATAATATTAAAAACTGCTTCTGATAAGCAATGCAGTCAAATTAAATTTAAATATGACAAAATGTTTGGTCGTATGACAAAAATTTTAAAAATACCTGTTATGGTATTTGAATTGGATGCTCTAAATGAAAAAAAATTTGAACAAGTAGTACCTTTTGAATGTTGAACGACCGTTTATGATGATAATCGATAGCATTAAATTTGACACCACTAGTCCTTTTGAGTATAGAATAGAATATACTTTATTGTACACACACATAACACTTACAATTTCAATTTTAAAAAGGAGACGTACAAATGGCGGCCTTATCGCTAAAAGCGATCTCTTCCAGGCAACCTTGGGATGGAGTTAAATCATAAATGAGCTAATAATAACGGGGTAGTGGACGGTGTATATACATATATACTGTGTAGGAAGAAAAACAATATAAGCATAAATACTTCACACATATACATACTATATACAAATATACATACATACATACTATACGTACTCATATAAACTACATATGAACTGCATGGTTACATGGACAAATAATGTTGTTTCACGAGTTCCTTAAAGATATTAATGGACTTAGCTTTCCTAATCGATACAGGTAATGCATTCCACAAGCGCACGGCTTGGACTGTAAAAGACTTATCGTAGAAGATTGTACAATGCATCGGCATATCCAATTGCAAATTTTCTGATGATCTCAAGAGGCGAGAATGAGAATCTTTGGTAAATTTGAAGCGATCCTTTAAATAAGAAGGGGTAACGGGATTGAAAAGTATGCTAAATAACATCGTTAGAATATGTGCATTCCGGCGAAGTCGAATAGGCAACCACTTGAGTTTTCCACGAAATTCAGAAATGTGATCATATTTGCGTAATCCAAATATAAATCTTATGCAAACATTTTGAAGTCGCTCAAGCTTGTTTAGTTGCATCTCTGTGAGATCAAGATAGCTGACATCTGCATAATCAAGTATGGGCATCATAAGAGAATGTGTGAGCGCAATTTTAGTAGCAGTGGGTAAAATATTGCGGAGTCTTCTTAAAGACCCAACAGTGGCAAAAAGTTTGCGACTCAATTCTTTGAGCTGTACATCCCAATTTAAGTTTTTGTCAAATTGTATGCCCAAATTTCTAACCTGATCACTGAGCTGTAAATTAACTCCAGCGAAAACAATTTGTGGAAGTTGATCATACTTAAGTTTTGCTCTAACCCGAGAGCTGCCTATTATAATAAGTTGGGTTTTGTTAGGATTTATCAGCAATCCATGACTACGGCTCCATTCAGAAATTTGACATAAGTCCTTATTCAGATTATCGATGGCTGAATTAATATTTTCAACAGTAGCCTGAGAATAAATCTGCAAATCGTCTGCATAGAGATGGTAGGAAGAAACTAATTGACATGAAATAGAATTAATGTATACTGCAAAAAGAAGAGGAGATAACACGCCACCCTGCGGCACCCCGGCAGTGATATTACACCACGAGGAAAATGAATTCTCAACGCGGACCCGCTGCCGACGTCCAGACAGGTAACTTCGAAACCAATCAATCGCTGATGGAATTATGTTAATAGAGCGTAATATATAAATTAAAACATCGAAATCAATTGTGTTAAAAGCGTTGCTAAAATCAAGTAGACACAAAATTGTAAGAGTTCCAGTTTCCATTCCTAGTCTTATATCGTCCGTTATATTAATGAGGGCAGTGGTAGTGCTGTGACCTGGTCGGAAGCCGGATTGATAGGAATTCATGAGCTTGTTCTTATTCAGGAAAATACTAAGATGGTCACTAACGAGGCGCTCAAGGAATTTTGGATAGGAATGGAAGAATAGAGATTGGGCGATAATCAGAGATTGTGGAGGGATTGGATTTCTTGGGAAGTGGAGCGACTTGTGCTTCCTTCCAAGAAGACGGAAATTTTCCATTTGAGATGGAAGTATTAAATATATAAGTGATCACAGGAAGAATTTCATCTAAAATAGGAATTAACATTTTCCGGCTGACGCAGTCACTACCCACGGCATTAGACGTAATTGACAGGACGCTCTTTTTAACATCACATTCAGAGAATTGATTAAACAAGAAGGGTTCGTGATTAGGGCGGGAAAGAGATGAAAGAGATTGGATTGTATTTGCTTTCGTGGCCTCATCAAAACGAGGCGAATAAAAGAAATGCTGATTTAATAAGTTAATGTCGAAGACATCAGAGATAGAAGCTTGTCGAGATTTCCCAATCCCTATTGAGTTTAGAAACTTCCAGACTCTTGCTGGGTCTCCATTTTCTACTGAGTTGTGGATGAAATGGCGTTGTGCTTTTCTACATACCCTATTGCAGCGATTACGAATTGCAATGAATTTCTCCCAGTTTGCCGTTGTAGGTTTATGTTTATATCTTGTTTTAGACTATATCTTCAGTTAGCCAGGGTGAAGGAGGATGTTTAAGTTTCACAGGACGTATTGGAGCATGGATGTCATAAAGTTGAGTCACTTACGAAACAAAATAATCAAGCTTTTCATCGACTGTAATAGAACTATAAAGTTGAGTCCAATCAATAATACAGGCGTCTTGTCGAAGACGATCAATGTCCATACCACTAAAATGGCGCTGAAGAAGAATATTCGCTTTTTCCTTGGGAGGTTTAACTTTATAAGAAACAAAGATAAGGTCGTGATAAGAAAAGGCGTCAGCCGGACATTGTCCATGCTTAGCCACATGCTCTAGAGAAGAGACAAAAGCAAGATCGAGAAGGGAAGGAGTACAATTTGGGAAGTGATGAGTAGCATTTAAAGGTAATATGAAAAGATTACTAGACTCGATCACACTAGACAATGATAAAGAGCGAAAGTTGTTCTTAAGGAGACAGGTGTTAAAGTCACCCATAATAATTGTTTGACTGTAAGAAGGAGTAAGAGATTGTAATAAATTTTCAAACGAAGAGAAGAAATCTACTCGAGAAGATGGACTATAGTATACTCCCAGCAGGATTTTAGTATGCCGTAAAATTACCTCAAGAAACAAATATTCACCTGCGTTAGGTGGTGGTGGCTGTGGTGACATATCAAGTATAGTGTAAGTATAAGATCTAAGATATATAGCAACTCCTCCTCCAGCACCAGAAATGCGGTCGTTTCTAATCAATTGGAAACCAGGCAGGGAGTAAACAGTTGAGGAAAGACATGGTTTAAGCCAAGATTCAGAAATTAGGATGGCATGGATATCTTTACAGTCAAAACTAGTCAGCATATCTGCAAAATGAGCTGGAATGCTTTGGGCGTTGATATGAATAACATTAAAGTTATTTGGAACATCATCATCAAAGTTATTTGGAGTATTGTAACGATTGCTTGATTTATGATTTTATTTTTTATTTTATTTTTACAGATTGAGATAATTAATTTATTTAAACTTATTTGCACAAATGGTGTACTTAATTATTATCCTGTGTCTATCTTAGTTCACCAAACTTTTTACTTCGTGTCACTAAACCGGAAGGTCTCAACAATCAAACTGAAATATTATAGGCACAGTTTTAAAAACATTGAGAGAACGTAGACTTTTCTTTCATATAATGTTGTTATGTATATTTAGTTTATTTATAGAATTGAGTGAGAAAAATATGTAAGTGCGGCAAGCCTTATTCAAGGTCGTGATTACAATAGGTCGGCCGGGAGTCGACAAGCTTATCAAATGCTTGTCTCTTGTTCGTTATCGCGCTATCGGTATTGTCTCCCATCTCTTAATGCGTTTTCCAACATCAGTGCCTGTGTTGTTTTTATGGTACGCAATAATTCTGTAAACGTGCACTGTGTTTCTTGTAAGGTGTGAATTGTCAAATCTGTCACATGTTTCTGGATGGATTTTCTATTTGACGTTCAACTTTAATTGCGTTAGTGATGGATAAGACCGAAGTAACCCGTGAAATTGGAGTGGAGTACGTATAATTATTTTATATTGTAATATTTATCATGCGTTTGGGTTATGAACATGGACGTAACAATAGACGAGCATGCATGAAATATGTTATGAATGTCGAGGAAGAAGGAAGCGACAGACTGTGTGACTTTTGGTGGCCGGTTCTCCACAAACTCCGTAAGGCATATAGCGAGAAGATATAGATTGAGGAGTCAGAGTATACTCGTATATTTTTGACGGTTATAATCTGTAAATCCACGGGGACTTTTAGTTTCTTTATTTCCACTTTCAATGAGGTGTTTTATTGAATCAAGTGTTCAGTATTTTAATTATCTTTGCAGTATTTCATTATAATTTACTAATATCCTAAATACTGGTAATAATTTTGTGATAGTAATAAAATTTGTGTTTTTATTGTGTTATTATTGTATTTTTTATTTAGTCCCAACGAAGCCATGCTGGATATGATAACGGACCTCCAATCGGAGCGCATAGATTCGCAACGTGCTGAACTGGGTGGAAGTCGCACTAAGAAACTCTCCAAGGAAGGGAAGGGAGCGTCGCTGCCCGGGCTCAGAGCCCAACAAACCGGTGCCGCAAGGCCGGAAGATGACTTCCTCGACATGATAGCTCGCGTTCAGGTACCCTTCCGAAATTATTTATAATAGATACTCTACACTACACCCAAATATTACTCAAATTCAAGTTCTAACTAATATAGCATATTATTATCATTTTCATAAACCCTGTTACGTCCCCACTTCACGGCTCAGGCCGTTTCTGTGGATGGTTAAGGAGGATATAAGGAGATAAAGCGGATTGGAGGGTATTAACTGTGACGGGTTCGGTGCTTGTAGTTGGTTGGAAAATGAAACGGCTGATTAAGCTCGATAAGTTATCAATTATTACTATTTACTATATAACATCACGCTATGACTTATAGCAGTGGAGCAGCAATGAAAAGTGTTGCAAAAACGGGAGAATACTTTTTAAAGCTTTCCATGCGTGCGCTGCGTATACTGTAAAAGTTACCCAAAAACCAAGTATTACGAAATTGACCCCCTTTAAAAGTTCTAAAAAAAAGTCCGCGGCTATATATCTATCTGTCTTATAACGTAACCCGAAAAAAAGCACATAAAGGGATGAAAATGGGGTGGAAGTTCGTATAGCGCATTAAATCGTTACCACAGAAACTATTGCTTACAATTCAATTTGTCATTGTTATTATAGTCATGTCATCAAATGATTTAAGCTCTGTGGGCAGGATTAAATAATCTTTTGATAAATTAAAATCGGTTACTCGTTGTCGCTAATATTAATGTTAATATAGATGACACGACTACACATTTAAAACGGGATTTTGCTTTTTGTAATGTCTGATTTTTATAAAACAAAGTAGCGATTTTTCCAATAGCATCATTTAATGGGGCATTATTCATCAGACGAAAAATAAAATACTACATTTAACTATCATTACTGATCACTAGATGTCGCAACTGTACTTTTAAAACGGGTTTTTGATTTTTGTTATGTTTATAATCCTGTTTTCCGTTTTTTCTAAAACAAAGTAGTAATAGCGTTTTAAATTTTTCTGTTTTACCAATAACATAATTTTATGGGATAACAATCTCCCGAAATCATCAGGCGAAAAAATAAAATTATACAATTAGCTGTTTTCGCTAGATGATGCTACTGTATTATTTAAAAATGTGGTTTTGATTTCTTTAGTGTTTGTCATCTTCATTGTTTTTTCGAGGTTGATCAAACAAAGTTGCATTCATTTTCATTTTTGCGGTTCCTTAGTACAAAATAAACGGTGTGTTACGTTTCACCGTTACATAACGACTGCAAATGCAGTCGAGACTAATCGCTTAAAGTGCTTTCCACTTAAAGTGTAGCACGGAGTAGCTCGCGATAGTAATTTTTTGGTCACCCTACCCGTGACCGGCCCTTGTGAAAATCCTTAGCAACAACGGTCACGGGCGCGGCGCTTATCCACTACTCCACCGAGCTACACATATTGCACATATGAATCTTTATTTCCCAGAGAACACTTACGAATTCCATTGATGATCGAATGTTCCATTGAAATTAGTAATGAGTCTTGTCTCATTGACCACTTACACTTGGCTGGGACGAGGCATGCGATTTACCTGACGACGCGATACTTAAATCGTTCTGTTTGTCCTGAGTTTGTAGTGTAGTTGTTGTAGTTCAAAATTTTGCCTTCTGTCCACCGATTCTATAAAAATTCGAACCCGTGCCCGAATTCACCTCGAATTCTATTGATTCAATTTTTTTGTATGAAACAGAACATTTTTACAGATTTATTCATACGTGTCTCAGATAATCTATCACTACGTCGTTTTGAAACTCACTTCACTTATGCTACTAAACGTTAATACCAATTCAAAGTTAAGTCACTTTCGAATTTAATTCGGACACCAGAGTGAATTCAAATGCGGGTTCGGATTTTTACAAAATCGCTCTACTGCTCGAGTACATCAGTGAGCCACAACAGTTAAATCTTACATCTTTATAAATATCTATATAGATAGTTTTTTAATAATTCTAATAGTTTTCTAATAATAATAGTAATGATTGAAATATGTGGGTATCAATTTTTTTCTTATACATCTCTTGAGGCTGTGTTTTATCTTTCTAAATAAAATCTTTCTAATCTTACTATTATACCTTTCTAAAGTATTCATTTAAAAATAAACTTTATTCTTGTTCAATGTGAGTAAAAATTATATATCATCCTAATCTAGAGGAAAGGTCTGCATGTGATTGCAGATGAATGATCTGATCGAGAGTTATTAAACCTGGTCAGTTTCGTATAAACATCCGCATACGGTGCATAGATTAATTAATACACGAATGGTTTTCAGGGCTCCCGATTAGAAGACCAACGATCGGAGTTGCCTCGACCGAAGCCCGAGGAAAGACCGAAAACGGTTCCCGACGATGATTTCTTTGCATTACTCATGCGCGCTCAAGCTGGTCGCATGGAAGATCAACGTGCCACTGTAAATAATAATTTGATATTTATTACTAGCTGATACTGTAATACTGATACTGATGAAACATAAGCAATTTCTTAGTTTATAATACGCGGGTATTATAAACTAAGAAATTGCTTATGTTACTTACTGATAATTTAGTTTTATAATGGAGGAAGAAATTTTTAATGGGTCCAATCGTTTTTGGCTTTATTTCATTGCAACCAATAAAAAAAATCCTTTTCAGAATACAGATATACAATATCACATAAATTACTTAATCTTCCTCCCCTCCTTTCATTCCACTTTTCCTGTTGGTATGATTTGAAGAAGTCGTAGAGCCTAAAATCTTAATATTCTGAAAAATGGCTTTTTAAATTTCAGATTCCCCTTCAAGACCGTCAGCCCAAAGGTGGATCCAATTCAAAGAAGTAAACTGATGCAGGGCCGATGAATTTTAACAACTTTATTCTCTGATGGTTGTTATATGAAACAGGTGTAATACATGTTTTAACGATTCAAATCTTTAGCGAGTTATTTAATTTACACAATAAAATAAACACATCATTTTGGGTAAAAAATTAGATACACAAATATTTGTCTTGTTGTCTGTCGTACTAGAATAAAACTTAAAATCATCCGGGTAAACTATGCTCTGTATACTTGTGTTCTGTATCCATATCACAAAAAATTATAAAGGATGATTGAATTCGCGTTTGAATAAATGTAAAATTTTGTATAATTATTTAAACGGTACTAAATTTTTGTTACACCCATAATTAGACCAATTCAAAAGAACTGGTGACTCTAGGACAGGCGTAGAAACGGATAATGCCACAATGTTACGCGTAGTACTCACTGCCGATGTTGTACGGGCTAGGGTCTGCGACATATACGGTCCAGTACAAGAAAACGCAGTATAGAAACGATACAGAGATATTTTCTACGCTCACATAATATTTGCGTCATCGTCAAATTAGGTGCTCGAAATTAAAACTGCTAATACCTATTATAGTTTTAAGTCGCCTTGTAAATGGTTGGTAATGTAATCAAATAACAGATTGTTTTTGTTAAAAAAAAACATACATCGTCGTCGAACATTTATAATCTCCGCGTTTACGATTTTGAAGTCGCTTAAAAATAAAAATACAAAATACTAGTTATCAAATAAAATTAAAAAAATACACCAATAGAAAAAAAATCACAGAGGCCATCTAAGATCTCTTATAAATTCGTTTTTTAAAATTAATTTCTTACTATAGGAACAAACGCGACTTCGGCATTGTAGATTAGATGAGTGAGAGTAATCACCCTGTCAATTAAATGACTTAACAATATAAAACACATATACGTCGATTAATTGTTTTTGTCTCAATGACACGACTGTTAGTTTTTAAAACAATATTCAACAATGTACTCATGAAATTACCCGTCTTATTTTATATCGAATAAATAAGTGATTTGTAAACTTTGGTTATATTGATTATTTATACACTTAGATTTTTAAGTTAGTTAAAAAGTATACTGTTGTATTATTTTAAGCGTATCGAGTTTTGGAATCGATAAATATGGTTTGGATTCAACGATATTTTTAGCATTAATTTTTACATATATATTATTAGAATAAACAATAGTTTCAGTTTAGATCTATACGATGGAATGGAAATGTTTAAGGGTTGGTGAAAAACTCTAACTTAATATTCTGGTTGAAAACTATTAAACACCAATGAGTATTTGGTAATTAATCCAAACTGAAATTTAAAATGTAAAAACAGAAATTTATTTTTGTATGCAAACGTTCCTGATGCCTTGAAATCGCAAAAACGATAACTATAATAGTGATAAAAATTGTATTTCCATTTATCATTCCCAATTGACTGTATAAGTGCTTTTAAAACTACTTACTTACTTCATAGTAATTTTAATGTTAAATAGAAACTATTAGTTTTGTCTATGCAATAATTACTTCATATGTCTTCATATTGATAAAATTGTGTGTGTTACTTTCATTCTGTAAAAAAATACTGTTGCTTGTGTAATAATTTACAAAACATTATACAAATTACCATAGAAACATTTTGAGTAAATTTTTTTTTAACGTTGGTAGTGTTGATAAATGAATGAACAACGACTAGATTTCTAAATATGATATTCGATATCCACTAATTTCTGTCATAGTTCAGGTCAGTAGTTCCCAAAGCTGATTGCTTCGACTTATCTAACAAAAGTTTCCAATGTATATTTAAAGAGGGAATGATAATTTTTCTTATCATCTTCTCCAAAGTGTAGACCATTGTTGGATAGGTCTTTCAAAAACATTGTCGGTGTGGGATGGCCGTTTTTCTTTTTAATAAACCGTTTATAACTTATTAAGCTTTAAAGCCAATTTGTCGTTAGAGTCGTGTTTCCCCTTCTACCAAGTAAACGGTCGTTGGTAAAAATTGAAACGTTATGGCAGTACTATCTCTATATAACGAAGTTAAAAGGAAAACTATCACATTTAAGTAAGCTTAATCTTAATAAAATATAAACCTTTGCTCATGAGAATAGCCTTCATATGAGTGTAAAACTTATGCAAAGTCAGTTACTAATAAGCTGATGGATATCACCATTCTTTGTATAAGAATTTTCATAAATGTGAGCCGATGTTATGTTTATTTATTTGATTATATCTTTGAGACAATCCTTCGGCCGTAATATTATGTTCTTTAAGAGACCTGAATTAACATTGTTTTTTTCCAAAATACCAAAATTTTAGTTGGGTAATGGATATTTAAATTTTATATACAAGGATTCATCAGAATTGTATTTACAGTTGGGTCTTTATAAGAAGCCACATTTGACATCTATCAATCTGAAATTGATAGTGGGGTGTCCTATTTAAAAAACGATTAATATGACGAATCAATATGATTTTCTAATAAACGTGATTCGAATACAGTTCTTGCGCAAATATGATATCAATTATTATTATTATCAATATATTCATTCACGAGATTGACTATTAAATTATGTCTCGTTTCGATATTGTAATATGAACAACAGGCCTTGGCCCTATCGATGTATTCGGGGCATTTCCAAAAAGTTCTAGAATGAAACCTGTGAAAAGTGAACTTTGGTGTAAGCCTTTAGTGTAACCAGAAACGTTGAACACAAAATCAATAGTATTGGATCTAAGGTTTTGTTGGTGCAAGTGGCTCTCTGCACTTTATTCTTTCTAAATATTTTTCTATTCTCTCACTTTTGCATTTAGTGCTATAGTTATTTTCGTTAGTAGACCATCTAATCTTTTCGATTTTTTTGTTAGATACCTAGTATTTGAAAAAACTTTCGTTGTACAACAACATGTAGCGGCGTTAGTATATGTAGAATGAAATTGATTTATTACATTTCGATAGGTTTATTAATTAAAGTAAAACGTCAAAATGCCGTAGTTGTCTATAATGAAACCAAATATATCTTAATAATTAAAATAAATTAGGAATTGTACCGTTTTTTTAACTTTGAAAAATATATTCCTTTTTTATGTATAATATGTAGGTGCATTACAAGATAGTTGAGACTGATATATGTTAAATGTGGCCTAATATAAAGATTCGACTGTAATATCTATATAATAATTATACAAATGTCATACGATCATGGAGTCCGTCCTTTAGTATCGTTTCACATCTAAAATATATATTTTAAAACTAATAAAATATGCATAGACATTATATAATCATCAGCTATGGACAAATGTTTGTACAATATTTGTTTAATATGAAATACAGTTTTTATTGACTTTTTTTAAATGAAAATACTGTAAATGAAATGCCAATAAAATACGTTGTTAACATTACGTAAAAAATGTACCTTTTAAATTAAGAATGTTAGTTAAACTATATATAAATAATTTAAAAAAATTGTTGGCTCGGAATATAATACGGAAACGCCTCCGAGCCCACAATTACTATTTACTAAGTTGTGACGTCATTATTTAAATTTACAATAGTTATACATCAGTATATTTTTGAAACGTTTTATTTGATGTGATCAACTTCATAATTTTTAATTTAAAAGGATATGTGTGATTTGCCTATTTCTATTGAATCGTATACGATGACAAAATAAAGTTGTACGCATTTTTACTAATATCACAAGCATGAAAGTAATGATAAAAATGTTAAAACTTCAATTAATGGAATGTTACATGGCCCGCGTCTATTCCAGAGCCCGCGAGTAAACGTGAACAAGCACTTAAAGCTAGGCATTTGAAGTTGTGCTAAAGAAGTATTTTTTTAATGCTCTCGGAATATAAAAAATAGACGTTACAAATTTTAGTGTTCAGTCAAATCGTCTATTTTATCCTCATAAAAGTCGAGATTAAAAGTATATTGAATTTCGTAAACTAACATTTATTTCGTCGTTCATTGAACTTTTCGTGTTTATTTATATACAGTAAGTTTCGAAAAATTTATTTAAAAGTAACCGCTAATTTCCGTTACATATTATATTACGTGTAAAGGAAAGAAAATTGAAAACTATAAAATTCTTTGGTCCATTTTGATGTTATAATTTATCTTAATCTTATAATATGATATCGCCAACTGTAGCATTTATTTTATTAAGTCCTTCCTTATTGCCGATTTGGTCTAGACACGTCGTTGCCGCAGGATTGACATATTTTTAATATGTAATCAGTGTCACATTGCTTCTTTGTAGCACACGTACATAGATTACCTGATAGATAATGTACACAAATATGAGTCTCTCAATGCACATGTAGTAAGTACCATTATTGTAGCGATAATATAATAACTAAATACATACAATAATAAAATGTGTCACTCAGGCAGGCCTACCGTGTAATCTACCATTACATCAATGTTCTTGATATTGTATTCAATCAAAATGCACTCTTTGTAGATGTGCACGTTAGAGAACTCTTAAGAACAATATTGGTAATGTGTGTTTTAAAAATATGTCTCGATATGAGTCCAGAAATCATTCCAAAAGCATTTACTTTTTCGACTGTTTAGTTGTTAGGATTTTAAAGTGTGCACTAAAGGAATTGATAACTTTAAATATTGCGATGTAGTATAGTGGGTAGGCGATCGTTATTAATTTACTGGTAGCGAAACAGTGATTGGCATAGTCAGCATTAAATAGATCGAACGAGTTATTTAGTTATATGTACACAATAAATATATATTTGGCGAGTTCCATTGAAAGTAGGTTGTAGTAATTAACATCATTTACGGGGAACGCTTAGCTCGGTTTCGTCGAGGTCAAATAATCCCGCGATGTTCTTTCTCTCTCTAATCGAGGAATGTTTCTGCTTACAAGCAGTTATGTCTTCCATACTCTGTAATACCTCTGTGACTTTGGATCACAAAATACTTTTATATTTTACAATCTCCGATCTGCTTGAAGCTGTCTATACATTACACTGTCAATCAAATCATTTTAATCTCAATTTAGTAGTATTAAAATAAAAATAGTTTGCACATCAGAAATATTTATATTTATAAATTAGATTGAACGGCACTAAAATCTAAAAAGGTCTAATTTTGTATGTTTACACTATTATTATTTCAATTGATCCCACCATGCTTCGCCATAGCGCCTTTGAAGTTTATGTGGAATTTTAGCGATGAATACAATTTGTGTTAATAATTCAATGTTGAAATCAAAATAAATTAATTTTTGGATTTGACTTGCATTTGCATTTTTAAAATTATTTAACGGTTTGCAATATAGATCTCCGCTCTCAATTAGTTAAGATTATATTTATAATTTCTGGGATGTATGTAAATTAACTAATGGGTTTATTTTTAAAAGTTGTAAAATATTACCTTTACTATGTGTTATTCAAGTAATGAATAATAACACCAATTTCAAATATTTAAGAATATATTCATTTTATATCTACAATTCAAATTATTAAGTAAGTATAATAGGTATCTAATACAAACTTATTTTCATTGTGCTACTAACTATTTTGACAGGTATCAAAAGTGATATAACTGCGCAAAGAGTGTAACTATCTTTTGATTTACTGAAGTCGAAGTTTTGTTGTTACGAGAGTTGACAAATCGATAAGGTTCAAATACTTCCAGGGTACTCATTAGCTAAAATATTGTACTATTATTAATGTATCCAGTCAAGGGACTTCACCTCTAC